TAGATTTTTAACCCTTGATGTATAAAGAGCGATAGAAACATTTGAAATTAATGTTTGAGTGATCTGGTAATTTTGTTTAGGTTTGTGGAGTTTTTCAAAATACGCATGCGTTATATACAGATAATGCATTTAATGAAGAAAATATGCTATTGTACAAAAGTAGCCATAGACAGTGACATAAAAGAATAGGTGTGGGTGTGCTTCAATAAAACTTTCTTTAAAAAATCAGGCAGTGGGGCAGATTTGACCTGTGGGTTATAGTTTGCTGACCATTAATTTGAGCATAATCTTCAAATGATTACAAATATCAGAGGATAATGTTATAGTATGAAAACTTTATTACTTATTATTGACCATTGAAAATTCAAGTTAGAGCTTAAGGTAAATCCATTCTTTCCTATTAAACAAAAACGTGAATTTGACTTACTGAACATTTATTGAAGTTTAATTTTTAAAAACAATTTCATTGAATATTGCAGTCACTATGTTCTATTAGGGGGTATGTAACTTTTTACTCTCAGCCATACTCATTATTTTTAGTGTTTGACATGTCTAATGTTGAAATTGTATTTAATTTTGAGAGGGTAAGTAGAATGCAAAGTATTCTGTATAGATATCCATTTTTAAAAACATGGCACAAAGCTTAACCCAGGAATATGTCTTTCGCATTTCTCAGTATAAGTGTGGATCTCAGATAAGTTACTCCTTATAATAAAAAACAAACATGTTTTCTGTTATCAGTGAGACTCAGACATGATCTTTTTGAAGTTATAATTTAATATAAGGTATATGGGTTTTAGCATGAGATAAATCTTGTATTTTTACCTAGTTTCTACAACTTACAAGATATGACCTCAACCTCAATTTCTTCATTTATTAAAAAGTGTTAATTACACTTATCCCACAGGGAGTTTGTGAAAATTGTTAAGTAATATTTGTAAAGTGCTCTAGATGGAGAAGGCTCTTTAGTTCTTTTGGAACTGTTTATTCAGAATTGTATCATGATAGAAAAATTTTCCCATTTATAAAATAAACCTGTCTTATTCAGAATTCTGAAGTTTAAAATAGGATATTTGAGACAATTTAGTTATTATGGGGTTTGATGGCAAATGACAAAAGT